CTGATCTTACAATAAAGTGCAGAGAAAAGTCAGAAGAGGAGGCGGGCAGTATCCCGCCTCACCTCAAGGGGGCATACATGAACTGACATGTGCTTTCTAGCTGCATTGTTGACTTCAACAGAGGCAATATAAAGTCGACGCCAAGCTAAAGCTACTAGGTCAAACAAACAACAGCGTTTTTATGCTCTGTGTGTTCCGACTCACTATGGAGGATTGTATTTCAAGACTAAAAAGTTTCTCAAAACTGGACTCCCAGTCTAAACAGAAGATGATAAGTGACGGAAGACCAACGCCGCAGCTAAAAGGTTTGCTTCAAACTACGGGACAGAAGAGTCGTTCTTTTCAAATGGAGTGGTACAAACGGAAAGACTGGCTGTGTGGCTGTCCTGTAAGAAGCCGCCTTTACTGCTTTCCTTGCCTTTTGTTCTCATCGAGTGATAGCGTCTGGACTAACTCGGGATATTGTGACATGAAAAACTTGCAAAGAAGCCTCAGCCAACATGAAAGATCAGCCACGCACATTCAAAGCCAGATTTCCTTAAAAACTTTTGGAAATTCAAGGATCGATTTGGCGGTGGATGAACAACGGAGACTAAACGTTAGCGTCCACAATGCTAAGGTGAAGGAAAACCGAGAGATTTTAAAAGATCTTATTACTGCAACCTGTTTCTTAGCCAAACAGGAGCTAGCATTTGGTGGTAACGACGAGAGGGCAAACTCCTCTAATCGGGGCAACTATGTAGAACTGTTACATGCATTTGCCGAGAAAGATGAGAGGCTAGCTAGACATTTAAAAACATCCGCTGTGTTTTCAGGCTTGTTAAACAGGATACAGAACGATTTAATTGAAGCAGTTGCTGAAGTGATCAGAAAGGATATTAAAAAGGAGGTTAGTGCCGCCTCATTTGTTGCAGTAGAAGTAGACGAGACTACTGATATCACAAACAAAGCCCAGATTTCTGTTGTTTTGCGCTATGTGACTTTAAAAAGTGATGCATGTGAAGTGAAGGAGGCGTTTTTGGGCTTCGGTGACGTAAGCGACGATAGACGAGCCCCCGCCATAGCTGCTTATGTCTTGGGTGTTTTGGAAGAATACAAGTGTGTTGAAAAGTTAGTGGCTCAAACTTATGGTGGGGCTGCCGTGATGGGATCGGAGCTCAACGGAGTGCAGGCCAAAATTAAAGAGAAAGTCCCCGAGGCCATGTTCACTCACAGCTATGCGCACAAACTAAACCTGGTCCTCATGGATTCAGCGAAGTGTATGCCTGAAATTAGAACTTTTTTCCAAACAGTTGAGGGACTCGGTACTTTTTTCAGCAAGTCCACGAAACGTACCCACTTACTGGATGATGTTGTGAAGCGACGTTTACCAAGAGCAGCGCCGCCACGATGGAGCTCAAACTCCCGGATGCTGCAGATAATAAGCATGCATCTTTCGGATTTGTGTGCTGTATTCCGCATTATAAATGAAAAACCTGGCAGCTGGGACAATGAAACTCTAATGATGGCTGCAGGATATGATCGGTGGCTGTCGAAAACATCAACGTGCTTCTACCTTATGGCATATGAGGGCGTTTTTATGGAAACTGATGCCCTTTTTAAAGTACTGCAAGACAAAGTCATGGACCACGGATATTGTTGTGCACGAATCCGCGACACACTTTCAGTTATTGAACACATGAGACAGGAGTTTGACATTTTTTACGAGAAGTATGAGCAGAAATGCAACGCGCTTGGCCTGACCGATGGTGGCAGCAAACAGTCAGCCAGAGAGGAGAAGAAAAGAATGTATTATAACATCCTGGACAATGTCGGTGTTCAATTGAAAGCTCGGATTGACCACTTTAGTGAGCTAGCTTTCCTTGACTTGGTCGACTTTGCCAAAATTCATGAAATGTCACATCATATGGACGACACCAAACTGCAGAGTCTGTCAAAGTATGCAAGATTCTTTGACTTTGTAAGACTAAAGGCTGATCTTGTCGGACTGTACAGCTCACCATCACTCAGGAATGTATGCCAATCACCTGGACAGCTTCTCAGCTTTTTGGCCCAGAAGGATCTAATCCAGACTGTTCCAGAGGCGACAAAGTTACTCCAGCTGGCTCTCACTCATCCAGCTACAACATCAGTGGAGAGGTCATTCTCTGCATCAAAACGACTGGAAACATACAGTAGGAAGAGAGCTGATCATGGACGTCTTTCTTCTTTGGCCATAATCGCCATTGAGGCGGAGAGACTCTCAAAACTAAGAGCAAATAAGGAAGACTTTTACAACCAAGTCATAGAGCTTTTCGTGGAGAAGGATCAGCGCATGGACTTCATCTATAAGTAAAGGTAACACTAAAAATGGTTTAGTTTGAAAAATAACTGAATTTTTACTGAAGGTCAAAATTAAATTTGTGCTGCACCCATCTCTATACTTTAATTTGTTTACAGTAAATTTGAGTTTCTTGGACACCAGAAGGGGGCGCTGTCCATTTCTGTAAAAGAAACGTTCTTTGTAGGATAAATATGTTCCTGTGTATATATTTGTGTTGGTGTCAGTGTCATTGAAAGAGGAATGCTGATGGATATGAAGCATTCCCAGGTGATGCTGTTGGATGAACAGTGAAATAAGATGCTCTTTTCGGTTCTTACAATTGTAAATCTGACTCCAGAGAAGTCAGCACCTCACCAGCCATGAACCTCACCGCACGTCACTGATGTAATGACATGTATCTGTAACAAAGAGGCTCTTTACCTCATTAATATTCACAGTCTGACATGACTCAGACATAGAACTTGTTGCTTCATAACGTCTCGGGGTTTAAACTAATCTGTTTTTCAGGCTTCATTATAAACACCTGAATTGCACAATATAGTCTGGTGCAACCCCTCATCCTAACACACACACACACAGAGACAGTTTGCCCTATAAAAACGCCACTGTGAGCTCAGAAGATATCAGTAGTTTATTGTTAACTTGGTATAGTTAGCTTGTTTTCTTAAGATCACAGTGTAGAATGGACACTTACCTGCGACTGACTGTCCTGCTGGTTGTTACTGCCACAGTAACAGTCGAAGGTAAGATGACTGTTGCATGTGGTTGTGGTTGAAAGATGTGGCATCTTTCGGTTGTTTCTTGTAGTATGTTTAGCTTATTGTTGCATTTCTGTGTTTTAAAACACCACATTTCCTACTTGTTAAGTCTCAGTAACTGATACATACTTTTATTTTTGACACAACAGAATACCCGGAGTTTCACATGTACATGTATTGCATTTTACAAAAACATTTGACTAAATAAATAGAAAAATGTATTCAAGTTAAAAGTTTAATTGATTTGGTCACAAACAAACTGCTTCAATTCATCATGTCCATATAACAGTGGTTCCAAGGTTTTTCTACTTATTTCTTAAAACTCCAATTTCCTAATTTGAGAATTAGTTTTAAAAGGGAGTGTTATCGTTGAAGTAATTGTGTAAAAATATAAATAAGCACAGTTTTCTTTGTAATTATGCCATAATTTATCTGGGCACTTATGTGGTAATAAATCTACATATTAACCTTACTTATAACTGCAGGCATCATATTGTAACATACCAGATTAAACAACTACTACTGTAAAAATGAGAGATTTTCATTTGCCTTATGCAGGATCAAGGCTACTGGGTGATACCACTACCAGTGGTGAGTAATCAATAATCAACCCTCATGTTGCTCTCAACACCAGCTCTACGGGGGAAATGAGTGTTGTGTGTTTGACTATTTGTCACTTTATTTACCAAGTGAATCCAGTAAACATCCTCTTCATGTCTTAGAGTTGTTGATATATCCTTGTTGTTTTGTGTTTACAGATACGCAGAAACCAGCTTTCAACTTTTTTGGACTATGGAAGGGTAAGTACGCACCAGAATCAAATATATGTTTTTAAATTAGTTTTATTAGTAACAACAAAAGAATGATGTAGTTTGTGTAAACCAGCAAATAAGGAGAGGTTTTTCCTGGGCTTGAATGATTTTAAGTTTCTAATAAGTCACTTAGTCAAGGAAATGTTTAAGATATTTAAAACAGGGTAAAAAGAGGAACATATTCAACATATCATTGGCCCCTGGCAAGTGCTGAGGTGAGACACAAGGATACGTGCATCCTTGAATCAAAAAGTGAGGTATAAAACCAAATGTTGATTATAACAATACACTAGTAAGTGGATATTGATTACCACTGTTGACTACCTCAGAGCTAATGTGCAAATTGAGTTAAAAAAAAAAATCAAACCCAGTCATGTGCAAACCAAGGTGGCCCGTTCAGCTTTTTAATTTAGCCGCCAATTTTTACCAAATTATATACTTTATTTATGTTCTCATTATAATTCTGCCTTTTCCCTGCAATATATAGACGTAGACTATCTTTATTGTCATTGCACAGAAACACAAAAAAACAGTGAGACTGGCAACGAAATGTTGTTGCTTGGCAACCGAAGTACACAGTACAAAGTACACAGCTTGTAGACCATTACTTGAGGTATGGCTATATACATTTGTATGTGTATATAGGTAGTGCAAAACAATTGTGCGAAATATAAACTACTGGTAAATATACATATAAACAGTTTGGAAGTGTGTTGAGATAAACTATAAGGTAAATATAAACATGCATTTATCTTAGTTAACACGAACGCTCCATCTATCTGCTCCTGACCCCCACCCCCCCTTGTTCAGTTTTAGGACAATTGTGGCCCTCTAGGCACAGAGGGCCACAATTGTTTGCCCACGCCTGATCTAACCTGACTAATAAATGGATTATTACATTGAAGTTGTTAACTACTACGTCATTGCATCAAACTTATATACCCTTTGTCACAGGGACGTCCTCAGACTCTAAACCATCCAGCACAAAAGGTGAGTCCATCTTATATTTGAATGAAACCGGCACTTCACCACATTTAATATAGATAATATACATTATATAAAGTATACGTATAATATAAAACGGTGGTATTGTATTCAGCATGTGATGTGGTTGATTACAGGAATGTTATTATACTACCTTATACTACCTTATACTACTACAGTAAATGTTTGAGTTTTATTGTCAATAATAGAACAACGCTATGTAAAAACACATGTGTGTTTCCAATACCATCTTTCAAAACATAAATATTCCGGGTGATGAACTCCTACAGCTAGATGAAACTGCTTCAATTAAAAATATTTTATTGAAACCTTTTTTTCAGATGACTTCGGCTTTAACCTAGAGGATGCTCTACATCCAGGTATTTCTTCATCACTCACCACTCAAGTTTCTGACATTAATCTGTGATCTAACCCTAAAATGCCATTCATCTTGGCCAATACTGATTTCTTAAATCTTTTTCCTCCACCAGCGGTAAAGCCCACTGGAAAACCGAATGAAAGAGGTAAACTAACAATCTTCTGTCTCACTTTTCGTATTGAAATGGACTTTTACATTTGAATCTGACAATTAATCTACTGTCTGTGTATCTATGCTTCAATCGTCCACAGAGTGTCAAGGAGACGTGATCCAAAAACTCAACAAGGTCGTTGAGAACCAAAAGGACATCCTGTCTCTGCTGAGACAAACTCAGAGAGCACAGTGAACATTTGGAGTCCTGCTCAGAGACAAATCAAATAAAAACTCTTTAGCCCTCAGTGTCCTCCATTTTCTTTTACTACCTGAACAATCTTTTTTTTTTTTAGGCATACAAATCCTGATGAATTTTCAGAAAATATTTGTTTTACTGTCTGTAAAAATAAGTTTTACCTGTTGAAGACTCCCTCCTTAGAACCAAAGTTGATCTCTATAACTGCAGGTTAACTCCGTTAATTTAATTGGTGTCCCACAGTAAAATAATCATAACTATGAGTATTGGCCACACAAACAGTGAAGTTAAGGAAAGAAAGAAACTTGTATCAAAACTCTAATTTTCAAAATATACAGCTTACATTTTCTTAATAAGATATAATCAGCTCTGTTTTAGTCTATTGTCCAACAATAACAATAATAAAATAACAACTATTTGATGTTTTGCTACAACATAGTATTGTAAACGATATCACTTGTTCTTATCAAGGCTACTGTGCGCACGCACACAGACGCTCACTGGTAAAAGACAGAAATAACTTCATATCCCAGAAACCATTGCAGTCACTACGCGGTCTAAGGTGTCTGCCTTACACAAGACACATAACGTGAAGTTCTCCTGTCAGTAATGGTCTTATTCAGCGCGAGTTGTCTTCACGACACTTTAAAAACTTTTCCTTTGTTTGTGCCTCACATTTAAATAACAGCGCACGTGAGTATACCTTTGTAACAATCCTTAATCGTTAGCCTCTTTGCTAACTGCTTGGAAGGGTTCATAAAACCCATTGTTTATTTTGCAGCGTGTTGGAGTTCGACTCTCAATATTCAGTTAAAACTGGCGGTATTTACTGTTACATTCGAACAAGAACATTAAGCTGGTTTGGTATGTTTTTACACGTCTCTGCTGTTGCCACGTGACCAGCTTTGTTTTGTAAGTGGCTCAGCAATAGGTGAACAATAAACAACATATCAACACAACTCGTGACCGTCTCATCCCACAGTTACAGCACTGTACAGGGAGTAATCAGAGACAATGGTTTTGGTTAGTTTTGTACTACGACAGTCGTGATATTGTAGGATGAGTTACGTCACTTACATGCTGTTTGTGTGAAGTACTAAAACTAGGCACTTTCACAACAGCTGTGATCAACTTTAGATAGATATAGGTAGATAGCACTTTATATGTTTGCTTATATGTAGCACGGAGGTGTTGTCACAGCTGGTGTGTTCATGGTCTAGCCACGATATTTGAAGATGAACTGTAGAGAAAATGATCACCAGAGCAAGTGGTGTTCATTCAGTCATATTTATTAACGTTTATCCTTGAACTATGGCATACATAAATATAATGTTGTAATACTTGAGTAATAAAAAGCTATCTTCTCCCACATGGCAAAATAAATGGCGTTACTGGGAATCAGTGAGATATTCCGAGTAATTGTTGGTCTAGAATGCACCCTCAGTAATGCTTTCCCATGAAGACGCTGCAGCTGTGTACTCTAGACTATGAGGGGGGGAAACTGCTACAGTTCCACTGTGCCCATTTCTCTGGACTATGGATTCCTTTGATTTGTTTTGGATTTGACAGGTGTGTTATTAAAGTAACTAACCAAGGTCACTGTTTTATTCCTCCAGAGCTATCAGTGACAGGAGACTCAGCAGCGGAGAAGTCCACGTCCAGACAATGTCACTGGGGAACGAGTCAAAGGTCAACACTTTCTGTTACATGTATTCAACTACATCAAAGTAGCACTTTAATCGCTCATCTAGTGCCAGTCGAATGCTTTACTACGTGGGGCCTCTCTGTGAAGAAGTGGAACGTCTAAGGAGGAGCTAGAAGGATTCATTTTTGGTTTTCAGTTCTAAGGCATTATTTTGTCACAACACTGCTTTTCATAGAACGAAAATGTCACAATTTGCTGATTTGACACCTGAAAAAAAATCACAGTTTGACCCCCCAGCTGCTGACATGTTGGCAGAAAGGGACAAGTCAAGAGCTGCGGACAGATCGTTTGTGATTGAAGACACTGATGTTAAAGCTCTTATGCCAGAGGATGTGGAAAAAATGTTTGACGGTCCATCTTTATCTGAAAGCCCAGTGGAAGAAACCGTGGAACACAGAAATTGGAACTGGGCAGTGATATTTTTGTGTTTTTATGGCTTCATGGCTTCAGTCAAACCAGGGGAGCCCTTTATCACTCCTTATCTTCTAAGCCCTGAGAAGAACTTCACCAGACAACAGGTTTGTAGAAGTTGTTTCATTCATTCTTTTGTCTTTGTAGAGGAAAGTAAAACATTTGCAGTTGTGTTTAATGGTGATCATGAATCTGCAGTCATGAGTACAGACTAAAATCCTCTCACCTTTTTCCCTTTATGCATTGGGCTAGTTCTTACAATAAACAAATGCGTATCGTGTTGAGAATTGGATCATCCAGAGAGTTTCAGTACTTAAATAAAACAGAATTGTCTGAGTTTTAGTATTTGTTTGAAATAAAACAGGCTTGATTGTTAACTCTCTCTGGATCCCATATTAACTCTGAATACTTGATTCAGGTACAATAGCCATTGGCTGTTAACGTTGTTTGTGTTGCAGTATTCATAGTTAATTGAGTTGATCTTAAACAGATACGTCATCAGCGTAGTCAGCTGTTGACAGTACTTCATTCTATACTCTGTACTCTTGAGGAGTTCCCATATTAATTTTGACATTTTCAGGTGACCAATGAGATCACTCCTGTGCTGACCTACTCCTACATGGCTGTGCTGGTGCCAGCCTTTCTGCTGACTGATCTTCTGCGCTACAAGCCAGTGTTGGTCATCCAGGGCCTCAGTCATGTTGTCATCTGCATTATTCTACTCTTTGGTACCACCTTACTTCAAATGCAGTTCATGGAGTTCTTCTACGGCATCACCATGGCCTGCAGGGTGGCCTACTCTTCCTATATATTTTCCCTGGTCAAACCAGAATTCTACCAGCGAGTGGCTGGGTACTCGCGCTCCTCAACACTCTTGGGGGTGTTTATCGGCTCAGTGCTGGGCCAGGTCTGCATTTCTGTAGGTAACATTAGCTTTTACACCCTCAACGCTATATCTTTGGGATTTGTAAGTTTTGGTCTGCTGCTAACTCTGTGCATGCCTTGGCCAAAACGCTCCTTGTTTTTTAACCAAATGTCTAACATGGAGAATAAAGAACTTCAAAATCCAGAGGAAACGATACCAGAAATGGTCAAAGAAAAGCCCAAGGAGGGCGAACTGCCCCCTGTGGTGACCATTTGCTCAACTTCATGCAGAGAGGATTCCATTTTTGGGCACATGCTCATAGAGTTGAGAAACTTTGTCAAAAGGCCCAATCTCAGGCTCTGGTCTCTGTGGTGGATATTCAACTCCACCGGCTATTACCTGGTGTTGTTCTACGTCCACATCCTGTGGAACAAAGTGTACACTGCCACGGAGAACAAGAATGTGTACAACGGGGGAGTGGAGGCAGCCTCTACTTTACTCAGTAAGTATGGATAGAATTGAACTCTGAGTGAGTGAAAATGTTGGATGTGCTGTGTTGAAGTCAGAGAGATATCACAATTAGCTGCGATACTAGGAGCTACGGTTGATTGGTCGTAATTATGTCGGAACTATAGTTAACGCACAGTTACAGAGTTACACAACACCTGCACTCATGTTCCCTTTGTTGTTATTTTGTTTTCGGTACGTCCAAGGTGTCCCCTGTAACTGCTTCATATAAGATGATTGAGAACTCCCAAAGACTTTAATGAATGAGCCTTTATTGATCTTTTTAAGATCTTATAAGGTGTGTCGGATGTGTTCATAGTGTTGTGAAATCATAATAACCGCAATATCGATCACCATCAATTCTCTGACAATAATCGTACCATGAAAATCTATCATTGTGACACCCTTATTCAGCAGACATATTTGTTAAGGGTCTATCAGTATTAACCCCAGGTTTCACAGTCAGACAGACACGTGAAAAATTTCCATATACTCATATACTGCGCATTTCTTTTTTCCAGGTACTCTTACCTCCTTTGTTGCGGGATATTTTAAAATCCGTTGGAACATTTGGTCGGAGCTCGTCATTGGTGTCATCACGGCCATGCAGGCAGGTCTGCTGCTGATAATGGGAACAACCCAAAACATCTGGGTTTGCTACATTTCTTACATCCTCTTCAGAGGTTTTTATCAGTTCCTGGTTCCCATTGCCACGTAAGTGCTGCAACATCAATCGTCTCCTATCTGATCCAGCTCTGCCTTGTCCTTTGTGTTTCTGACTACTATTATATGTTGTTATGTATCCTTGATGATGAGACCCGACCTCGTCAGACTGTATTCTTTTACATCTCTGTAGGTTCCAGATTGCCTCGTCACTCTCCAGAGAGATGTGTGCGCTGGTGTTTGGCATCAACACTTTCTTGGGGACTATACTGAAAACAATCATTAGTCTCATTTTTATTGACAAGAAGGGCCTGGCATTGGATATACATCATCAGGTAAAAAAGTTACTTTTATTATTTAAGTCGACTTTGTTGCCATTCTAGTGATATTTATTTAAATCTCCCTGATAATTTCCCAAAGGGATTCATAAAGTTTTATCAAATCTATACTATAATAGTACAAATTAAACCTAAATAATCTTTGTCAATCCTCACAGAAAGTGTTTTTATGTTAAGGTTAAGGTTGAACTTTGTTGATCCTGCGCTGGGGAAATACAGTAATTGTGTTGCAGCAGCATAGGGAGCGGAGGCAAAGACTGTACAACAGACAGATGTAGGCGTTCCTTCTTGCACTGGGGATGCAGCAACGTTTCCTTCATTTCTATCTTTTGATGCCAACATAACAAAACATTTATAGGGTCAAAGACAAGTAACCAAAAAGTTATAAAAATGACAATAATCCTATTGGAATTAAACAAAAACCTTAATCTTTTATATTACAATGACACACAAATTAGTAATGAGTGAAACAGACTGTGCTGTGCTGCAGGCACATGTCCAACCTTTACTCACTAATGGAGCTAATGCTAAATGTTCACTCACTGAGGACTAAACAAACAAACAAAACAGTCGGCATCAGGCAAATCCAAACAGTTCGATTTAACACCAGGTGAACGCTGCGTAACTTGTCACCTAGTACTGAAACCCAAACCTGTGTCGTACTCAGACACAATTAATTGCAAATGACACGCTAATGATTAACGTCCTATCTATCTAATGTAACTTGGCAAACAAAGTCAGGTGGTTGTACCACACGTGATGAAACATATTGGGTGAATGCCCTCTTTTCACTGCCTTTTTTATGGCCACGACGACACCCTGCAGCCAAAATAGTCCCACACAGCTGATTTAATGCACTTGTTCCAGGGAATAATTCCTCTTCAGCCATTTTGCCCCACGTGGTCACCCCTCTCTTCTGCAACTTGCAAGAACCAAAAACAAAACAACACACACGGAAGTGTCCTTTTGTTTTTCTTCCTTTCTATCACACCTTCCAGCATTTCTGGCTCTTTTAAGAAAACGTTACGATAAATCAGCCCTAGTTGTAATATCGAGTAATGGTGACCTCCCTGCTCTGGACTGTACAAAAACAAAGTGTTACTAGAAGAGTGTGGCATTGATTTCAGTCTCTATCCACAGGTCGTTCTCTGGTGACCTTGAGGTCTCCAGTTTTCCAAGCAGACATTTAGTAAAGAGCAGACCAAAAACATGTTGATCGTCTTTTGACCAATATCATTTGTTTTCTTCTCTTTCACAGTTCCTGATGTACTTTGTTTACTTCATCATTCTCACTGTTGTCTACTTAACCGGTGCTGCTGTGGTCATAGTCCGTCACTATAGAAACCACTCAGCAACAGGAGGTGAAGCCACACACACAGAGCTAAGTCCCGTCGCTGAAAATCCAGAGACTGAACCTTTGTCCAACATAAAACAGGACTAGCATAACAAATTTCCTTTAGTGAGTCTGGACTGTTTTCAGTTCCGCCAGGGTTTTGCAGCAAGCTTTTGTGAAAATTTAAATCAGCGGAAATAAAATAAAGAGGTTAAATTGTAAAAAAAACCCCAAAAAAAAAACATAGCAATGCACAAAATTGACTTTAGTATCTGTTGTTATAAACAATTCTCCAAATCAGAAGTATTCAATAATATATTGGCCTGAAGCAGAAAAATAAATTCTGCTTCATTTTGTGAGCTTCCTATTGGTTTAAATGAATAAACACATGAACTGATATAAAAGTTTAAAAAAATGTAAGAATTGAATATTGTTTAGCTAGTCCACCACTTCATTTACATCACATACATCTCCCCTTCTAAAAGTACTTTTAATATTACATGCAGCATGACTAATAAGTTAGGTTAAAAAAAAACCTTACTTTTTAACCTTACTTGTAAAAACTTGTTTCTTCTGCACTTTTTGTGATGTGACATTTATTTGCCTTGACTGTTACACCTGGTTTTCTAATAATCTGTGTTTAGCAGATGAGGGAAACTCATCGACTGCAAATATCTGCACTTTTGGAAGGGAGGGGTCGAATCCCTTCCCTAGGCATATAACCGTCTCAGGCTCACATTAACAGATTCCCTGCAGCACGACTGACAGTCACTGGCGAGGGCTGACTATTTCGTGGTTCTGTAGTGTAGTGTTTGGCACGCTTGCCTTGCCAGCGGAGAGTCCTGTGTTCGATTCCCAGAGATCTCCCTAATGACTCCTCTCCCTCTTGTAAGTCGCTTTGGATAAAAGTGTCTGTTAAATGCACGAATGTAACTGAAATCTTGAGGATAGTTCATGAAGAACAAGACACTCACTGTCGGGGTGTTGTTGGGTTTGTGCTCCATCACACTGCTGTAACCGCGGATAAACGACAGTCACTGACGTAGTCGTTGGAGTCAACCAGGCTTCAGCACGCTTGCCTTCGGGGTAATGTGAGTGCAGGCCAGCAGGGCACAGAAGGGGGGAGGGTCTGGGCTTCAGCTCAGTATGGACCACTGGCCCTAGTGTGAGTGCACCTGGTCCAGTCCAGTATTAGTTGATAGTCTTCCATCGTAGAAGGGCAACAGTTTCAGTCTCAAAGTTAGCTGCTGAAAAACAGAGAGAAACAATAAATGAGACCGTTGGTTTGTTGGTTTGTTTGTTGCTGTATTTTCTTTAAGAGAGAAAAAAAGACTTGAAGTTGAATAGTTCTGTTAATTTAATGTTGTTGGAGCTAAATCATATCATTATCAGCACTCTTCCTGTGAACTCTTACTGTAACTAGACAGATTTAAATGATCACATCAGAATATCTTGTAAATTCATAATGCAGAATCTGTTCAAATGTATTTTGTATAAATCTTCCTGCTGTGACAGTGTGAATGAAATCTAAAGACGTATATTTATAGGAGCAGCAAAAAATGTAGGTATTATATATATTGAAAATGATGCTGGAAGTCAATGTGTGAGCTCTAATCTGATGGGGGAAAAAGGTGTGTTAACACATGTTTTATAAAACTCACCCAATCTAATTCAATGACTTTCTTTTTGATTTTAAATTAAATGAATTTTCTTTGTGTCATTTAAAAAAAGAAACTGCTGTAAAGGTATGTTACTGTGAATCTTATGAGACTGACTGTTTTATATTAAAAACAAATAGATAGATAAGAAATTTGCATTTTAATTTGTTTGGAAGCCGCACTTTACCCTCTCACCGATTGCTTCAGCTACAGCGTAAAATGTGGGTGTTGCTGTGGTGGAGTCAACAGTCCAGTGTTTCCTCGTCTCTCCACAGGAAAACTTGAAGTGAAAATATATAAAATTATACCAAAGCGTGCTCTGACGTTCTGTGGAGGCGTGCCTCACCACTGCGTTAAAGTATTTGAGTGACCACTGACAACAAACGGGTGCTAGCTGGTTTGTTTGTAACAGTCAGTTTAATGAAACACCGTGGCAAACTAAGTAGAACAACACTTATATTCTCTAAATCAGTGGTTCTCAAACTGTGGTACGTGTACCACCAGTGGTACGTGAGTGCTCTCTAGTGGTACGTGGGGAAAATTCATATTTTCACATTTACATTTTCAATTGAATCAATCTACACATACCATGCACAATTAATACAACATTTAAACCTAAACATCTGTCTAAACCTCTCTCCTATGGTGGAAGCTAACAGTGAAGGCCTCTGCTGCTGTATTCTAATGTTGGTCATCATCGTGGGACTCAGAGAGATCAGGGTTTTCTCAATATTTGATCCCCAAACAAAACAAATGTTAGTATTTGGTAGAGAAACAGGCACAGTGATGAGACGAGGCTTGTAGTTGGTCACCAAGATTTCACACAGGTTCAGCTTGAAGCTTCAGCTCCCTCCACAGGTTTTCTATTGAGTTCAGATCTGGAGACTGACTGGGCCACTTCATGACCTTAATCTGTGTTATTCCAGAGGAAAGGAGGTTTTCAACCAAGATGTTACAGTACATATCCCCCTCAGTGCAGTGAAGTCACCCCTGTGGCTACTAGCCAATCTGTGGGAGCCAGAATTCTGGGGGAGTTGTAGAACCACCCAGTAGAACACACACAACATTTTAGAACTTTTCTAGTGTCTGTGGTTTTTCATGCATTTTTGACTGATATTATATCGTCATAATCAATAAACAACCAAACAAATTCAACAAGGGGTCAAGTAAGAATTTCTCCCATTATATTAGTTACACACACACACACATATGTATATACATATATATATATATACATATATGTATATATACTAGACTTGTTAAAAAAACAACTTAAAAAATGATATAAGCCATACAGTTTTGATGTCAAAACCACTTGGGATTCTGGATGGGGTGTTCTATTTTGCCTTATAACTTCACTAAAATCAACCATATATCATTATGAGTGGTGTATGGTTCGACCTGGTCCCGCTGAAATTCCCTAAAATCTACACATTTTTGCTTCAAAGACAGCTATAATGGTGTAGATTGCTGATGTATAATGTATTGGGTATCACCTTAAAGGGAATTTCATCAGCTCTCATGTGGTACCACTCATAATGCTATGGGGTTAATTCTAATTAAGTTATAAGGCAAAATAGAACCCCCCCCCATCCAACATCAAAGCTGTATGGCTCATGAGGCAGGCACTTCCCACGGTCAGAAACCAAAATAATTGTTTTATCTGGTCATTCCACAGCTTGGAGAATGGGAATCACAGCAGTTGGCTTTAAAATTTAAAAAAGTTGTTTTTTGAACAGATCTAATATGTGTATATATTGTATATACATATATGTATATATATACACATACATGCACACATATATATATATATATAAATATATAGATGACACAGGAGCACAGACACATTTACTGGGAGCATGGTCACATTTACATTCATGCAATTAGCAGATCAAAGTGATGTACAGGAACATTAACCATCAAGCTACGTAGAGTGACGCTTTAAAGGCGGCCACTGGTTAGGACAGAAGGGGACCTGAGGGTGGAGTGCAGAAGTGGAGACAAGTGCAAGGACAAGGAGGTTCTCTCTGAAGAGCTGGGTCTTCAGGAGCTTCTGTTCTGGTGGTGCTTGGTAGATCATTCTAGCTGGGTAGAACGATCCATGAGAAGAACCTGGATTGTCTTGTTTGAGGTGTTGGGACTGCAGGACGACGTTCCTCAGATGGGTGGAGTGGTTGTGGGGTAACATAAGCCTGGGTCAGAGTCAGGAACAGAGCCATTCAGTACTAGCATTAGTGATTTGAGTTTGGTGTGGTCAGCTGTGGTTAGCCAGTGTAGCTCAGTGAACAGAGGGGAAGACATGTGGCCTTTTAGGCTAATTGAAGACATTATGATCTGCAACTGTATTGTGAGGCCAAAGCACTAACCCTTTGTTCTTCAGCCGTGTGTCAATCATCACACTTATTAATCTTATTCAGTGTTGTTTCTTCTGTCTCTGTGTTGTTTCTGCAAAAATAAGTAGAATAAAAACAAACAAACATTGTTGTCCCTTAGAATAACATACATGTTCAGTAAATAACAGAGTATGTGTTTGCCTTGATAATTCATCAGTTCACTAGAAAATAAATAAAAACCCAGTGTGACTCACGTCTGCCTCCTCCAGAAGTCTGCAACAAGAGGGAAAACAGGAAGAGGCCATCAGAATACAAAGGCTTTTTGAAATGAAATGGTTAATATATGAACTAATATATGCTGATTTGATTTTAACAGTCTCCAAATGTAATGTTACAACATGAAGTTCTATCCATCATTGTTCTAAAACTGACCTGCCTCCCATGGCATGGAATCTGCAGAGAGAGAAGACAGAAGGTTCTCAGTAATAGCAGACAAATCTCAGTTCAATATTTACCATATATTTTGCTTTTACACACTATAACTGTCAGGTTCAATTCTAACATATATATGACGACAAAGTAGCACAAGAGACGTCTTGATCTTTTTCTCGCAAGGGAAGAGTGCAGTTACTCTTCTGGTAGCTTCCTCATAAACCCTTCCTCTGCTCTCTTAATGAGTTTATAAAAGTATCAGATTACATATCATGTTGTCTTGTGAGAGTATATGGGCAGATGTGGGTGTGACTGTGTCTGGTCATTTCTCCATCAGTCTTGAGCACACTAGATTATAATGTGAGAAGCAAACAGTTTCACTTCATTGGTCTGAAAACGTATTTATTTATTTAAATTTATTAAGAGCAAATACGTTGTCCTAGTTGTTTATAAGACAGCAAGAGCTATTACATATTTATCCACTCGGTGTCAGAGGGCCATAAAAATGGAAAATAGAGACTCGGTTGTCTAAGAACATCTTCATGTTTGTCTTCCTTCAATTCCTGCCATTATCAGTGTTGTGTTCATCTGAAACTAGATCGTTCTACTTCGTTCCATTACTTTGGGATGGGTTTTTCTTTGATGGTGTGCCTTGGGATTTTTCTAATGTAAAATACAGTTGCTACAGCTGCTGATGTTCCTACGGGATTAACGTCATGATCACCTTATGATCATTTGCTGGATATGTTAAACAATGACACAGAAAACCTCAGGAGCGTCTAAGACTTTCCCACGACCTCTCCACTCGTACATGTTTGACTGTTTTCACTTTGTACGTATTACTGTAAAGTATTTCTTACTGCCTGGTAGTTAAGTTAATTTTAATGGTCATATTTTATATTTAACTTTTTTTTATCGAATAATGTTTTGGGGTTTTTTTGTATTTAAAGGAATTACAATCAAGATGTAATTCAAATGTGTCCTCCTGTGATAAAGTAAGGCTCAGAGAGTCTGCTCTGAGCCTTACTGTCCCCACTGTGACAGTCAGAAATCTGTGAGATCTTGAAGTTTACAATAAAAGACAATAAAAGGTATTAATATAGACGGTTTTTACTCTTAGCTCACTGCACTAATGCTAGCATCCAAAAAAAGGACCCCTTATATAAGACCCCTTACCTTACTAAAACCATCAGTCTGTACGAGCTGATTGTACAGCAAACATTTAAAACCACTGTAGTTAAACCATACAAACCTACCGCAATACAATTCTGGAAAATCTGTTTCAAACCACTTTATTCTTTGCGCACAAGTTTGTAAAAAAAACAAAAAAACTAGCTACTTTAAATATGTTAACTTACATCATGTTAACTTCCACTGTGATGCAGATGATACTCAACTATATTTATCTGTGCATCTGGACACACAGCAGGTTCTCAACCTCCAGGAAAGTCTTAAAGACATAAGGAATGGAAAAAGCTACAACGTTCTACTTCTAAACTCAGATCAAACCAAAGTTATTGATCTCAGCCCCAGACATCACATCAGATAACACGACCATCGGCTCCGGTCTCACAGTTAAGAACCCTAGCACAAGGCTTGACCAGGCTCAACCTCAACCTCAGGCCCACAGTAGGCAAATTCACTTACTTACTGTTGACAAAATTAGAAATACTTATACAACAGATGATTCTGAATTTCGCTGTCAGGTTACCAGGACTAAATCACCAGCACTCTAGCTTTCCTCCACTAGCTGCCTGTAAAATAACAGATTTTCTAGGACAGTTTAGGAACTCTAACCTTTTCCAACCCCTCACTGCTCTAACCCACAGTGAAACGGGACAACCGCTCAAAGGGACCAAACTATCCCGTGGAGACCCTGAGAACATGTTTACACTGGCTGCATGCAGGAGAGAGCCAGCTGCATTTATTAAAACAGCACACAGATGCTGCACGTGGGCTGTTTCACTTCTCCACGGTGGCCATATTGGTTTAGGATCAGAGCTGTCATGTTAGAAGCTTTAAGCACAAATATGGAAAAGTATGTGACACTTGGAAAATACAGTAGTTATAATATTATTACTAATATTTGGAAAACGTGTGTTGGTAGGTTGTTGGGTATATGGTCAGTTCTTACCTTTCTGAAAAAACCACATGCCTAAAGAGAGATAAAAAAGTTTACATTAATATCATTCCAATTGATTTACAAGCTCAAAACCTTTCAGTTGTAAAAAAACAAAAATAAAATAAATAAAAGAACCTTTGTTAAAATAAGACTATTTGTGAATTATAATGGCACTTAATATTTTTAAAATTACAATAGTCACATCACATTACAAAATGTCCAAATCAATAACAGGAATTCATACCAGCCCTCCATCTGTGTACAAAAACGAGGATCAGTACAGGACACAGCATACAGATGAATACTGTCAGCCCGGTATTTATACTGACAGGCTTTCCTCCTGAAAGACAAAACACAACAAAAACACAAATGTGTTCAGTACACTCTAATGCCACGTGAACAATCCCAGGATTGAACGAACACAGATTCACGCCAATCACTTACCAGTCATTGTCAAAGGGTTGCCTATGGCTCTGCTGCTCTCCCAGCTGACTGGGTTCTCCAGCTCACAGCTGAACTCCTTTACCATTGAACTGTTATCCTGAAAGGTGGACAGTTGGAGTTAATTGTTGAGGTTAGTTTCACGAACAAACTGACAAGTGAAGGTTAACTTAGCAATGTTATTAAAAGAGATCAGAGGATGAGTCAGAGGGTGGCTGCAGTGTCAGTTTTTTTAATGAGGCTGGGTGGAGAACACCATCTGAGAAGGTTGTCAAATGCAGCACGTCACACTTTGAGGTACCTACGGCATAAAGGGAAAAGTATGTAAGTTTCCCAGAGAACCCACCTCATGATACCTCCACCACTTGTAAGTTGCTTTGGATAGAAGCATCTGCCATGTGCATAAATGTAAACGTAAGTAGGTGAGCTGATGAGGTGTTCTTCAATTCGACTATAAAGGCCATCTTAAACTAGGAAGGTCAGAAGACCCTTAAGAGTATGACCCTTCAAACATGATAAAAACGTCAACTTACAGACCTTTCCGATGTAACAGAGCTTGCTTGAAACTGTCTTTTCGTTGTCAAACTTCCATACGTAGGTGAGTTGGTCAAGTCCAGTCGTGTTGCCTTCACATGTCAAAATGCAGCTGCTCTTTTCTTCATCACAGGATACAGTAACAGAGGGCACAGGAACAGCAGCTGGTGATATTGGTGTACACAGGTTAATGCTAATGTTAAGTAGATTGTTGTATTCATAAATGTTGAACTACTTGATAACAGTTACCAGACTTACACAAGACTGAAAGGGGAATGGAAACGAGTACCACACTGTTGATTTCTGGTGTGTACAATGCGCTGTCACTGTAAATCAGTCCTTTGATCGTCATTGCTCCACTGGAAGTGTTCAAGCTGCCACGCTCTTTGAAGCAACACAGACACCGTTAAGATTCTCACCAGAAAAGCTCAACCATCAGAGGGCGCAGGGAAGCCTAGCCTCATACCTTTGAAATGACGAAAATAGGTGATATCCGATTCATCTGATTCTTCCCATTGGACAGCGATGTTAGGACCGACCTTCCACATTATGCTGGTAATAGGTGCAGTCACAGAAGTCATGTCTGGACTAAGGACGACTTCATCACCTACTTTCTTGTAGACTGTAGAAACAAAAGTAGTGCATCGTTTTTCTGGGCTAACATTTTTTCCTTTAGCATACAGATGTTGGTTTTGGGTTATTTTTCCTTTAGCATACAGATGTTGGTTGGTCTGGAAGTCATGTGTTCTTCAAGAGTTTTTTCCAGTTCTAAAGATTATTTTGCCACAACGACCTATAATTAATGCCACTCTGGCATTATTTTTTGTTTACTCTTACCTATGTCCGGCACCACCCTCACATTCTTCTCTGCCATTCATGACTCTCTCACCTGGCACACCTCATTTTGACCTTCAGACTTTTTAATTTTTTTTTTGAAATAGCATTGAGAACCTGATATATGTATAAGTATACATATAAGAAATATGTATTTTTTTTATCTGCACAAACCACTCTATGATGCCACCTAGTGACTGAAAGCTTGTTTATCGTTCACACTTCTGTCCAACGTGCCATATTCCATTAGAAGCCTCTCACGCCCAATCACCCCCTCCCCCTGCGGCCCTCTGGGCTGACGCCCCACTATTAGAGAAGTAACAGAAGTTATTTAGCTGTGCTGCTAAAATCAACGCGACGTAGACTGTATATTTAATAATCGACAAATGTGCTATTTGGACATGCTGCTGTTTCATCTTAACATCTAAACATGTTGATTATGTTTGCAACACATTCAACTTCCGGTCAGACGACAGGCTAGCTTCAGAACTGATTAGTACGGGTTAATATTTGATTTAGTTACAAATAAAAATAGTAAACGCATTGATATATCTATTGTTATTTGTCTTATGATACACAATATATAGAAAAAGTTTGAATCATTTGGAAATGTTGACGTATCTACATTACTCGTGAATTTCAATAACGCTTCACTTAGTTTGTGTATATTTTAGAAACTTAATTGAATCACCGAACCACGGTCTACACACACCAAGGCTGTGTATAAACTGGGTGGGGCCACGGTCGTGCAAAACAAAATGCGACAAAACGTTGAAAAGACAACATAAAATGACCTAATAATCACCTCATTCATATGAAAACGTGAGCTAGCAAACAGCAGGACATCAGAAAACTTACCAGACTGTGAGTAGACGACGTGTAGAAAACAGAGCATCAAAGTTAGCGTCTCACTCTGAAGCATGTTTGTCTTCACGTCGTCATGGACCGGGGCAAATTAGGGTGAAATTATTTAGGTAAAGCTCCGAAATAGTGAAGGAGCATCCAAGCTTTTATTTAAATAAAAATAAAATACATTTAGATTTCAACCCTAGGAGCGAAAACAGAGTAAGACTGAAAGTGAAAGCTCTTCGGAGCACAGCGCTAACCCCGCCTTCGATGCCTCACGTAATCATTTCTATTTATATCCATATTCTGACGTTCTGTTCAAAAAAATTAAAATTGTATTGTTGTGGAAATGTCTTTATATATCTGTGGAAAGTCAACGAAGCAAGGCTGGAAAAAGATAGTGTTTAAGGAAGTAACACACATTGACTGCAGCAGGCAGATCAGAGGTCAGCTTCCCTGACCACCAGGTCTCAGCCCATCTTATACTGTAACCCGGGGTCCCCAACACCCGGTTCGGGGACCGGTGCCGGTCTGTAGGTCATTTGGTACTGAGCTGCAGTGGTACTTCAGTTTTAGTAATTTACTTCACTCATGACACTTTAGTATTTAAGCGAACTGTAAAAAATTGTGGCTTGTTATACCCCTTATATACAGTATATATACATATATATGTGTGTGTATATATATATATATATATATAATTTACATTGAAGTAGTTTTACTGGTGGGCGTTGAGACCCTGCTGCCATTGTCCACCGCTGACAATATCTCATTGTCCTCCTGCCATCAATGCATTATTGTAGACTAGAGGCGTTTAGTTCAGCCGAGTGGAGGATGTTGTGGGAGACAGAAACTGACCATCTAGATGTGGCTGCTTCCACGGAATATACTGGAACGTTTTAGTGCAAGACGGTGTCTAGCTAAGCTTTTTGACCACTTGTTATGGCCACTGCTGTGTGGAATCAGCTCAAAGCAGTTGAAAGGTGGTGGTTATCATAGTTCACCGTCTGTGATGCTCTAAAGTCTGCTAGATCAGGCTCTGTGTCAGTGTTCTGTCACGTTCTGTCCAAATTGTTGTTCACTGATGTTCATCTGTCAGTCAAGTGAGCAAGTCAATGGGAGAAAGAGAGAGAGAGATGCCGTGACATCAGCTCTGTTAGGAGTTAGTCCTTCTTCCATTTTGTTCATAAAAATGTCAAAGCTGTACAGTACCTTGCTCTGGTCTACCCCTTTAATGCAATAAGGGCCATTACAGTGGGCTATTGGTGATAAAAGTATTGTTTCGAAATGCTTTATTACAGCTAAATTATCATGTTAGAAAAAAAATTAGTATTTCAGGTGTTAAACTAGATATTATTATACTGTAACATGCACTTCATCTTCAAGCTGACAGATTCAAGCTCTTTTCTAACTCCTGTGTTATTCTAATACAGTTTAGTTGTCTCATCAATAATAGTCAAATTGTTTTGAACCTAAATGGTGAATACTCTGCTAAATGTTTTCTCCAAATTACCTGTTTCTGTTTCCAATAATTGTTTTCTTTTTTCCCCATGAACTATAAGGTTTACATTTCCCCCAGATCAACATCTTGAGTTAATCCTAGATACCTAATCTTTCTGTAGATCCCGTTTATTTCCAAAAACACCTTACTACACGAGGCCCCTGACCAGGGCAACAAACACAACCGCATCATGAACTGGGACAAACCCCAAATTAAAATAATGAAGAACATTAACGCAGGATACTGGAGGCTGCGTCAGTAAGGAAGTGTGGGAAACAGGCAATCAACTTGGATGAGGAGCTTTTTTTTGCTGTCCCACACCCGGGGCCTCATGTACGAACGTTGCGTCCGCATAAAAAAGTTGCGTACGCCCTTTTGCGTGGACGTGCGGTTCTTACGACGGTGTCCAGAGCAGCCGTACGCACGTTTCTACAGCCATGTGCCTTTGGCGACACTTAGAGGTGACGCTGGGAAACAGCTAATAATGTCAAACGAAGTAGTCCCCAGAGTGATGAGGACATCAGAGACACACTAATGGACACTTACCACAACTTATATAATGAATTCGCGTGCCGATCGTAGTATCCAGGACCTTTTTTATATATATTTGCATATGTATGTGGGGGCGTGGTTTTGCCACTTCAGCGTGTGCGCTCAATTGCACGTTGATTGGGATGTACAAACGAAACGTACTTGAATCCGCACACATCTGATTTTTTTTGTCCTCCAGTTTCTGGACTTTATTGTACGCCATGTTTCAGTAGGAAATCCACTCAAGTCTGTACGTGAGGCCCCTGGAGCGCCGTCCTAGAGGAGTAGCCACAATTCATAAGAACAAATCACAGTGACATGGTGACACTGCGGAGCCAGACTGGAGCTCACAGCCAAAACATGCCAAGGTAATAACGGTACTTATTGTATGTCTGATTTAACTAGGTTTTGGCAACAAAAAGAAAAAAAGTTGGACCCTAAAAGAGGCATAGAAAATACACATCATTTGGTTTTTCAGCAAAGTGCTAATGATAACATTAATTTATTCCACATTTATTTTTTTTATTATTTTTTTTACATTGCATTATATGTCAACATTTGCAACAATCTGTGTGTCCCAAAAGTTCACTGAAAACATTCAAGGACTAAATATCTTTACTAACTGCAAAAAATACATTTCTCAAGCACATAGTACCCACTTAGGTCAATGGTCTCATACAGTACATGTCAAATGTTAGCAATACTGAAACATTTGACTATTCCTTTAATAACAGTTCAATGTGTGAAATACTGGTCAATTCCTGTTTCAAAAACTATGACCTTCCATTTTCCCAACACAGAGTGTGGTATAAACAAAGACAGAATTATAACACACGCTGTGCTCAGACTCTTTCATCAACTTGAAGACATGAAAGCAGACAGGAGGAGAACAGGACTCTCCATTCTGCTGGTTGGCCTGTGACAGGCTGGGCTTCTTCAAGTTTTTCAGTACCATGTGTTGTCCTGGTACACTTTGGTTTACTGGTGACAAATGGACGGCTGAGATCAAAGTCATTGTTGCTTGGTGCTTGATGGAACTGCTCGACGGGAGTCAGCCAGTAGGGGGGTTGAGAGTTCCCAGAGGTAAGATGAACCGATGTCTCCACTGAAGAAAGGTTGTCATACGAAGATCTGAAAAAAAGAGTGAGCAACAATACTGTTTAATGGATGAACAGCTACACTAGTTTCCTGTTTTATTGGCACAGTTTCCAAAATACTACAAATTGCTTAGAAAGCACTTGACCGACCGGGGCGTGGGCAAACCATGGCCAGCAGGCCAGATTTGGTTAGTTAGTATAACAAGCATGTTTACTTAACTCTAGTTAAATAATATTTGCAACATACTTGTTCACTGGTGTCTGAAGGAGTAAAGATGGAGACGAGCTCAAAGGAGAGGTGCATTTCTGTGGGCTGGCCATGGTCACATAATCATCCTGAGGCAGCACAGATGAACCAGGGCTCCCGTGTGGTGACATCATCATATACCTGTGGCTCCCTCCCTCCTCATCCTGCTCCATCTTTTCTTCCATGTAGCTGCTGGAATCAGGCTCAGAGGAGCTCGAGCCCCGTGTTGTGCTCAGAGGGCTTGGACGTGCAGTAAGAGGAGAGTTGGGCTGCCTCCTGTCTGGTGTGGTCTGCACTGCGCAGGCTTTGGTCTCACACATTTTGGTGTCAGATCTTCTGGTGGAGTGGACCAGGAGAGAGCAGGGAGGGCTCACGTTCACACCTCCGTCTCTGTTTTTGGGTCTGCTACGTTTGGACAGCACAGGTGCTTTAAGTTGATTGGAGCTGGATGTTGGTGACCAACCAAAGTCGGTCAGAGGCCGTAGAGCCTGCACAGCGTCTCGGACTGCCTCGTGAATTTTCTGAGCGCTGACTGGTTTTCACATGCAGAAAAGACAAACGTGGTGTCTCAGTACAGATACCAATGGACAGCTGAGTTTGTTTTGTTTTTTTACCCAAAATAATATTTGGCAAGATTAAACAAATGGTATAGAATCTTCTGCTAAGGTTTTGTATTCAGCAATTTGTTTATTAAAACGTTAAAATATGTTTCAGCATACAGTTTTAATTCAGAACAACTAGGGATGTCTGACATGACAACATCAGGTCAGAAAATAATATTTCTTCTTTATTACCTTGGTCTCTGGCTTCCATCCAGATCTCTCCAGGACCATCAGGTGCCGACCTTCCAAGCTCCACAAAGAAGGAAAAGTTCAAGTGGCCAAAGCAGCGGACAGTCAGCAGAGGTATGGTTGCTAATGGTAAATCGAGGAACCCATTCCCTCTGACCAAGATGAGCGAGACTGCTGTGAGACACAGCTGGGACTCTCCTGTCAGAGACATGGTACAAGCCAGACCTCGGGCTTTCACCGTGACAGGCCAGACCTTGAGTAAAGAATAAAAAGAATAAAGAGGGCAGCATACTGAAGGAAAACTATATGGGAGGTATACTATACTGAATACTGCAAGTTGACAGTATTTAGAATACTGATATTGTTTGTTAAAAGGTCTAAAGACAGAGCTGAATTTCAGTCCATTTGAATAGAAAATAAACAACTTTAAAACATCAAATCAATTTCAAATTGATTTTTGGTTCCAATGGCTGATATACAAAAAACAAAAGCAGAAACCTCTTTGAAGATAGCGGCAGGGGGCAAAGTGCAATAGCCATCGTCTTCTTCATCAAAAGTGTCTCCACTCTGTCCATCCTTCTGCTCCTTCTCAAACTGTTTCTTTAAAGCCAGGAACCACTCCTCCTGCTCCCGCTGATCCTTCGTTAACAGCAGAAGGGTCTGATCCTTGGCATACAAAACCACTGCATGGCCCTTCTTAACACTGCTGGTCCGACTCAGACCCAGGCAGCATCCCTGGTAGACCACCCTGGAAAACAATGCCGGACCTCAGATTCTAAACAACCCTTCTCACAGGTTGTTATTTGTCTTGATTTAGAATTTAGACAATGGAAGAACATTACAGAATTAACAGATGACAGCAGTAACTCTTCACAAACACATACATGACACTGTCTTTTGTCATTGTCATTTAGTCAAATGAAAAGATTTTGAGCTGTTTTTCTGTGTTACAGAGATACAGAGAAATAACCTACTGGATATTCATTTGGCCTAAATCTTATACCAACCCTTTCTTGCTTGATCCAAAGCGTGGAGCTTTACCAGAAGACTTCTCCAGTGCTTTGAAATTCTCATGGCTCTTATACCACTCAAGTCGACTTGGGCCCGTCTGACTTTCAAATCTGAGGACAAAATATCTTCTGTGGTTTGGTTTCATCTTCCCCAAGTATCCTTCTTTCACCACATCTGTGTGTGGTCTGGAAGGCGGCAGAAGGGCATCGGACGGAGGTAATGCAGGATCCACAGGACGGCACGGTTCACTGCCACATACGGGATCTTTGGAAAAATGAGATAGTAGATTTTCACTTCTCTGCCTGGTGACTCTGTATTTCCCAAAGTATTCATCTTGCTCCATATAAGAATCTTTCATCCAGTTGGGCTGCAGTTGAGAAACTGATAGCTGCCATGTAAATGACAAGCTGGACCCTGAGGAGCAGGAAGGAGCTGGAGGTCTCCCAGGCTCATCAGATCTGTTCTTTTCTTCAGCCATGTCAAAGTTTCAATTCTGTCACGTGTACAAAGAAGAAGGCCCATTAGAAGGTCACAAATGTAAATGTTCGTCAAGAAGCTAAGATGTAATCCATCTTTTTTTATTATTATTATTATTTCATAAAGCAAACAGCGTCTAGATCAGGGGTCGCCACTTTCAAATCCTAACGCCGTTTCTGTTAATTTCTTAAACCTCCACGTAATCAGAATGAAATATGTCATTTTTGAGCTTTACGTCGAACAGATTATTACCAAACAACTACCGAACAGTACCCAATATAATTACAACTGATTGGTCATTTTATTTTATTTAAATATACACTAACTTTAATCATTCTAAAAACACCGGACGTTTATATGAACAAGCCGACGCTGACAGTCTCCAAAACAATTAGCTGAGAACTGACACCGCTGTGCCAACTTACACGTGTGTCCATTGACAGGGTTTAAACACATGTGGGGTTAATACAAGAAAAACATTATGAAAGAAGTCACGCTTCAAAACTACGTGATGCTTGAAAAGGCGTTTCGTTCCATGCGTCTTACCTCAAACAGCCAAACTTTGTCCGCTCACAGGTGCCATCACGACCAGTCCATATTCCTTGTCTGGAGCATTGTCTAACTTCCCAATTCCTTGTCTGGAGCATTGTCTAACTTGGGGTTGGGTGTAATATACCTTCGGCCAACGCGAAGTACTGGCGCTGTTTCGCCACTTTTGAAAGATCTTTGGCTTTTTCGGGGTTTGTTCTGTTGGTCTTTCTTAATACACCAGGTTTTTGTGATCTGGCAACAAAGTGAAAGGTTCTTCAGCTCTTATATTACCTGGTAATTTTTCCTCTCCTCTAGAGCCACATTGATTGTTAACAGCTTTCCCTTTGTATGGCATATATTTGTCCAGTAGGGGTCAGCAGCTGGCTGGTAGTGTTATGGTTGTGGTTACCTCAGTGCGACTAGACACTAGTCTCATTAAAGCGGCCATGCTAATAGGAGTTAAAGGCATTTTCGGTCTTAGGGCTGTGCTCTGTTGAAATTCTGCTTTACACCTGCATGTTGCTTCAAAACACATAACAGAAAGAACACATGTTAGTTGTCATTTCTATTGTTACTTCAGGTACCTGACACAGTTAAATGAAAAACTCACCGTAGTCTACATCCTCCTTGTCCACAAAACATTATTCCTCTATGAAAATATGCTGCCATTTTGACCAAAGCACGCATTTTAGTGTTTTTGGAAACCTAAAAACTTTATTTCAGATAACGGTGTTACACTAATCTGATGTAAAAAAAAAAAAAAAAAAGGGCCCTACAGGAGGGGTGGAAGTGTTACTGTAATATTAGATACAGATATCATGCAACTCTCATTAATTTATGATCAATTGTTGGGGGTAAAATACTTTTTTTTTAAATTAAAATATAAAATAAATAATTACAGGAAACAGAGTTGCAGTGGGGTTTCACTCAATGTTACTTTTAATCACAGCTTATTTGTCTTTTCAGTTTGGACCAAAAATTGTTATTATTGTTAAAAATGTAGTTTAAGAGTCAAGCAAAGTGGAGGCCATGAATATAAAGAGCGTTAGAGGGCTTGTTTTAGTGAGATTGTTTTTAATGTATTTGATGGGGTTAAAAAACTATAAATAAATAAACAAGGAAATAAGGAAAGACAATAGACTAATAAAATAGGTTTCTTTACATTTTTATTTTTTGATTTTCTTTAGAAAATATGTATAATACAACAAAAAAATAACTCAATGTTTTACTCAAGTCCATATCAGTTTCTGTTTCATAGCTCCGAATCATTTTCCTTCCTTGAGTCAGGTTTGTCCAGGTTAGCCTTAAGTCGCGCCTGATCCACAGCATCAAGCAGGTTTTTGGAGTCGAGAGCAAGAGTGTGAGCCGCACTCAGCATCTGCCGTTGACACTCTTCCTTTAGAGACGTGATGGAGTTCTGCTGGGCCAGTCGCATCTTGTTGATCAGCTCACTTAAATCTTTGTTTAGCAGCCTCTTCGTTCCCTCGATCTGACATAGCAAGAAAATGTTTTTGCTTTAGTTGCACGTTGTGGAACAGCCCTGGAACCTTACCTCATTCTATTAAAAACAAAATATTATTACTGTGTTATTTAAGACAGTAGTACAACAGATGATTTCTATTTTTAAGGTAGTCTTCAGTACTTCATAGCTCACAGTCGGAGAAAAAAAGCTTAACCTTAAATGGATGAGTTATAGTACAGAGGAATTCTTCTGCAGTGAACACCAAGCTGAACCTTCTCCATGTGGTCTTTACTGCTACCTATACTATGTTTTCCTTTGTGGCTCTATAGGCACATGAGATTAATTGCAGTAATACAGACAATTATTAATAATCTTCACACGTTTATGAAAAACAGCACCGTAATACCTACAATAAACTATCCCTTTATACTTCAACCTTAAAAATACAGCTCTTGCCCTTTGTAACGCTGTTTGCAGACACAGTCTTCAATAATGAAAATCCTTTTTAGACCTTTTCAGGTTTTGTTTTTTAAAGCCGACTGAAGTGTTTACCTCTGTATTGACAGAGGAGTGTAGAGATGGCAGAATGTCCTCCACATCCAGGATCAGTTTCCGGAGGGTGACACCCACTTCCTGAAGGGCAAGAAAGTCAGAGATGAAAAATATTAGAAAAAAGAAAAAACTAATTATAATAATCAGGACAACTAAATATCAATGAATATTTATTATACAGTATTATTGGATACAATTACTTATTGGTGGCAAATGTGGCAAACAGTGAAAATAACGTAAGTATTCTATGGCCTTGAAGAGTGACTTTAGCGTCCACTCCATCATCAACAGTCCACACTGTTTTATTCTGTGAAACTGAGTTCTACATGATCAACAACAACAGCTTATATTATTGTTGGACTTATTGTACCTTGACAGCACCTGGATACTCTGAGGCAGGCAGCGTGCTGATGTTGTTCATCAGCTGGGCCACCAGTTTCACCATGTTCATGACACCAGTGTAGACCTGATCACCTGATCGGTTTATCTGAGCAGTCACACAAGGCTAAAACACATACATTACATTAAAGGCTTTGCTCGTACATATAGCTGTAGTAACAGAATGACGTTTATGATAATATTGTGTTTTGGTGGATGTTTCCTTTTACCTGTGGGGCTGTAGGGGGCGTTGGCGACTTCTCTGGGACCAGGGACAACCAGTTTCACAGCCAAATATTTGTAGGTGACAAAATATATATATATAAGAAAAAAAACAAGCTTGTTGTAGAACAGCACCATTAAAAAGTACCATAAATGTGTCATACCACTTGACCCTCTTTTTTTAGGAAGCTGCAAAAAACAACAAAACAGAGATCAGCAAAGAAATGCAGCTTCTATTGATTAAAGGCCGCAACAACAAAACGCAACCAAGTCCTTTCAAAGAAAATACATCGTGTAAAATTTGTACTTATGTTGTAAGTGTGGGGTAAAATATAGTTTTATCTAAAATAGAAATAATCACAGTGTCATTAAAGTGCCAAAAAATTGTAATATAAATGTAAAACAAGAAATACATACAGCAAATAGGAATAATTCTGTGTTTTAATTATTAAATGTATACCTTGATTTGTGAACTTGTGACGACTGGATCCTGAAAAGAAAATATCATGGCAGCATTATCATAATGTCACAGTTGGTGAATGACTTAGTAATTCTCCTGAAGCTAATTCAGACACAAATCCATTACAGAGGATGTAATACTACAAATTATACTGGATATGTTACACAGTCATTCATTTCATCAACACTCCTTTTTTAATTCTCTCTTTCTCTTTTTTGTCAACGTGTGTCAAAGTGTGTTTTACCAGTTGTCTTTCCTCCTCCTCCAGCCACTGTTTATCCAACAGCATCTCTTTTCTTTGTCTGTCCAACACCTCCTCAACTTGTTCTTGCTCCTTTTCACACACACACAGAATATGGTATATGAAGTAACTTCCTGATAATTTAAAAGTGTGATATTATTAGAAGTTATTAGTGAAGACAAGGCTATATTTGTATTTGTATGTTGTTTTGTACCTGAAGGTGCGTGGCCCCAAAATGATTGATTCTGGATGGCTGCAGAAAAAGAAAAGAGTCACTAAAGTTTTGAAGCAATACCTGTGAATGTTTCAACAGTAGTCATATTTACAAAAGAGGTGCACTGCAGAAATGTTCTGGAAATACTGCAACCTGTGTACAGTACATATACAGTAAAGCAGGGGTCACCAACATGGTGCCCACGGGGTATGTTCTAAAAATAACCCTAGTCAATAAGAGGGTGAAAAATTGTACTGTTACTGTTGTTTTTAGGTCAGTTCCACTTGCAGTGATATTCAAATGGGTCCAGTGACGATGGTAAGAAGAGTGTCTGCTACTGTATGTCCCAGAACTGGACGCAGCAGCATTAGTTTTCTTTGTTGTTTATTATTACACTGTTCAGGAAGTCTGTACCAAACAAGTAGCTCCTCATATTACGTAGTACCCTTGAAGTAGCTCTCAGTTTGAAACAGGTTGGTGACCCCTGCAGTAAAGTCAGAGACATAAAACTCATCCTGAAGATTTTGTCTGTCACTAAAGCTCCGTGTCACTTTCATTACAATTGTTTATTATTAATGTGGTCTTACAAGCCCACAACTTCGATTAATCACTTTTACACTTCCTCACTCATACCTACTGACGAGTCAGTGTGTAGAAGTCTGCAATCGATTAGCCCACCCCTGACCAAAGACACAACAGCTAAGCCAAAACACTATATAATTGAAGGAGGCTGTAGTGTTTTTTGTTGTTGTTTTTTTGCCTTGCACGGTTCAGACACAGACTCCAAAGTGTTATAATAAAGCTCTGAGGAAATGGGACTGAAACTGCAGTCCACAGGTGTTTTGGTGTTATGTTTTACCTTGGGTGGAGGCTCTGTGCAGCTGTCGTAAAATGATGTCGGTACCTGGTTTGACCTGGCAGGGTTCAACTCCTGCTCCAGCTCTATCCTGTGAAACTCACTGCCAGATACACATACACAGTTAGTCATCGCACACGAGTTGAAATGGGATTAGAGGATAATACATGTCTCTAATCAAAGATGGTCTGAAGGAGCCTCTCTAGGAAAAAAGATCATTTAGTACCTAAAGGAGCAGACAAGCTCGCTGAAGCATGGACGGGCGTGTGTTTCATAGGACCAGCAGCGGCTGAGTAGAGAGTACATAGGTGTCGGACAGATTTTTGGTTTAGGGAGTCGAACTCCAGACTCTAGCTGGTTAATAACCTCCCAGTTTTCCAACCAGGAAAATGGCTGCTGGGCCATGGAGAAAATCTCCCACACACACACACCTAGTAGACACAAACAGAAACACACGTTTAACTATTTAAACTGTTTTATTACTGTATGTCTACGAAAACTACAAAAGTTAAATATTAAATACAAGAAACGATACAAACAAGTTTGTGTTGGATTGTGTGAAATACAACCACTGTATACAATGTAGTGCAATACCTAATAATAATAAAATTGCTGTACAACACTAGCTGTCACCTTGCTGGCATGGCAGTGTATAAGGTTGGAAATATTAGAGAATGTAAATAATAGGAAAATGTAGAAACAATAGCAGAAAGAGAAAAACAGACACCTCTATTTTCATTAATTTAATCATTCGCTTTTACCCACTTCACTACATTGCCATTATATGCTAGGTCACTAGGTGGCGCATCGCATTTGTAGTTGATTGGGATTTACGCGAACAAAGGAAGAATAAATCATGCTAGCGTGATGATAACGCCAGCAAAAGCTGTATCTCCTTTATTCTTACCACAGGTCAGTAAATGTACACTCACACAGGTGTACATCCTAGATATTATAAGTTTGAATATGTGACTAAGTGATTAGCTGTGCACATACGAGCAAAATTAAGCTGTTAGAAAAGTGAGAAAAGTGCTAAGTGGCTACCGCTAAGCGGACCTGCAGCACCTTGGCTATCAGGCTAGGCAGGCAACAAGCAGCAGTGTCATTATTAAGGAAATGACATAAAAGCATTAGCACGTCGTGCTAGCCCGAACTGTTTGCCAGTCTGTGCAACACTGCTAACCACAACACCACTGTGTGACCCAGAAAAAGTCAGTGATAAACCTAAACTAATGAACATGGTGGTAATAAGACTTAAACGTAAATTCAAGCTTAATGTCTGACATGATGTGTACATTTTTATCACTACTACTAGGAGAGCAGCATGTACTAAGACTTTTCTAGCATGATAGCAGGTTTGTTTCAAACAGTGCAAATCATCATTTTAATTAAAAAGGTGAGACTCTTTACCAAACATCCAAACATCACTGGCTCTTGTGAAGCGTCTAAAGTTGATAGATTCAGGTGCCATCCACTTAATTGGAAGTCGACTGACGGAGGCTGCACACCAAAGAAAAGGGACAGATACTCAGTTAATCTTATATTTATATAATATATTTATAATTATATTTGTTATTGTCAAAATGCCTGTCTTTCTTTGTAAACAAAACAATTTTTAACAATGGAAGGAAAGATCAATTTCTTTACATTTATATTTAAATAATGTGCTTGTGCATGAGTCTACTTTATACTTTACCTTTATAATAATCTTGTTCATCAATATAGCGTGACAGGCCAAAGTCACCAAGTTTTACACAATCCGGTGATGCCACCAAGACATTCCTCACCGCTATGTCTCTACAGCAGACAACAGACAGAAACAAAAAGCACGTAGACACCATTTATAACATCGTTTTTTTCTAATATGCATTATTGTTTTTATGGACAATATTTTATGGACAATATGTGAATTGAAATCACTAGCTTGTGCACTCTTAGCTACAACTTGACAGTCATATGTTGCCCATGGGCCACTTCAGATGTATGTAATAGTCTAGTTCTTTACTGAGGTGAACACAGTTACTCAGTGATTAAAAAATCAGGTTAAATCCTACCTTTGTATATTTTTGTTCTATTATTAAGAACATATGAGTAGAATTTATACTTAGTACCGACAGTCCAAAACTATGAACACCCACGTCTGCATTTTGTTCATCTGAAGCAGAAGTGCTGTCATGTACCTGGCCACTAACGATGTGAAGAATTGTTTTATTAGTTCATTGAATGTTTTTAATGATGTATACAGAAGTAGTATATATATTTTTTTACTAATACTCAATTGCTGATCTGGCCTCTCTATGGAGACGATGATGTTAGTAGTGCACCCCAGCTCACGGTCTACATGTTTGATGAAATGAAATGAGTGCTCGTTGTTGTGTCAGTGCATGTCATTTCTAACCTGTGCACCAGGTTGAGTCCCTCAAGATATGCCAAGGCTTTGCAGATTTGAAGAGAGTAAAGTGTCAGTGTTACTCTGGTCACAACATACTGATGCTCCACAAGGTACTGGCCGAGCTGCCAAGTAAACACATAAAGTACACCTCCTTAGCATACTTTACTGTTTGTGCACACTAGTAGAACCGGTATGCAATCTATAACTAATCCCTACTAATGGTTTACGTAAACAATGTGGACACGCACCTCTCCGTGTGTATAGAGCTCCATGACAATCCAAACGGGGTCCACCTCAATGACCCCAATGAGTCGAACAATGTGAGGGTGATTCAGGTCCTTCATCAAACCTGAAACCAAGGCAGCAACACAACAAGAATTAATAGATTAGCAGTGACCATTAAGGGCCAAGCTTATCTGTCTTTATTTAACCGTTATTTTACCAGGAATAACCCAATGGAATTCAGAATCTCTTTTGCAAGGGGATCTTAAACTTTCTTAATGTCATGATTAAAAGACAAACTGTCTTCTAACAAAAATCCAAGATATTTGTGGACCGATACCCATTCCATCAAATTGTCATTTAGTGTTTAGAATCTGACAGATAACTCTGTATCATTTGGTTTAGAAAAAGACATCATTTTGTTAGATTTGAGTACAAGCTTCAGAAGGTCACCTGGCCGGGTTAAGTTTGTAACCAGTGATGATACCCAGATATCTAACATATGTGGAGGAAGAAATGGAAGAGTTCTTTGTATTGTATTGTGAAATGATGGGATTTTGGTGATATCTTGTGGAGCAGCAAAAGAAGTAACGTTGTTGTTTGTGTCACTGAAGGTTCTCCTCAACATAAGTTCCAAAGAACCTCAAGTCAGGGGCTCAGTCCACCATGTCACTTATTGAATATGTTGATACAGTATTGTTTGATGGTTGTTTGATGACTTTCCTCTCTATGTTGCAGGCACGAGTTGTGACTGGGCAGGCTGGGGAAAGGATGGCGTCTTCAGGAGGTCCAGACTTCTCCCTACCAAGAAAATGCTGAGACTGCGTCTCTCAGCCTGCTGTTGCTTCAACCTTGGCGTGATTTCAGTCTACAAGCTGAACGTGAGTACTCCAGGTTCTCATGATAAGTCCATACTACGAAATGCTGCTTGGCCCCCTCAAGCCAGTGACACCCCCTCTCCAGAGGCATTTTCAAGGCTAACAACTCTCTGTTGTCATAATTCTGCTGTGCTTGGTTAAGACGGTAGGAAAACAAAGAACTGAGATAAATCTTCTGATCTACAGCAGATGTTTGTGACAAGGCAGCTCCTTTTTAACAGGTTGAGTTGTCCATAATATGATGTTTGAAGTTTTGTTTGAACGTCATTTCTTCCTAGTAAATACTTAATAGCTATCAAATAAAACTTCAAGAAGAATAAAAACAAATTCCTTTGCCATTTTGATTTAATTCTACCTACCTGACTTGATACATGTAGGCTGTTACAATAACAGGCAACAACAGAGGTATCAGCAAGTTAAAAAGCCACAACCACACAACAGGAAGTCTGAGCAGAAACTGTGAATCGAAACCTCACAAACAAAGACGTTTTTCCATGAACAGCTTCTGCTACTTCTCAGCCACGTTGGTACTCAGCATCAGAATTCACCTGAACCCTAAATGTATGCATGAATGGTCTCCATGGTGCACTCACTGGCTTCACTGAAAAACTTCTCCTTCACATCTTCTGAACAGTCCTTACATGTTTTGATAGCCACACGAGTCCTCTCCCCTTCCTGCAGACACACATAATGTACATGTTCGACGTATTTTAACCAAGCACGGCAGATTGACTTGTATACAACATTGACCCAAAGGTCTTAGTAGTTACTGATCAATGTAAACCTGTGTGAAATGTGACATCAGCAGAGGTCCAACTTACCGGGCTTCTATAAACACCTTCATGAACCTCACCAAAGAATCCCTCCCCCAAGATCTGACCCACTTCAACATCATCTCTGGATAATCTGTGTTTATCTGGATTAAAAAAAACACACAGAGAAAAATGACTGGACAATTACTGTCTTGTCTCAGTGCGTTTGAAGCAGGTGTTCTGGCATAAAGTGAAACTTTCAAAAGATGGAGCAGAGAGATACACATGAAGGTATAAAATCATACACAAAATGATGTTGAATTTACATAACATTTTCAGATAGTCACTGTTAAAGACCGTGTTGCAGACATCACCGTCTTTAACAGTTTCAGTGGTGGTGATCTTGAGTCTCTGCCTCAGATGGCTTTTCAAAATGAATGCATTTGTCGTAGCTACTGACGTAGACGGTGCAGGAACAGCACATACTCTGGAAGTTACTGCTCAGGAGTGAATTGAACAACATCTCATTCATTTTACTCACCAGGTGAGTCCGTTTTTCTTTCTGGAATCTCAGCGTAAATACCAGAGTCTACAGTTAAAAACACATCAAACATCATCACGGTCAAAACTGAAGGCTGATTGTAAACAGAAACACAACAACAACAACAATAATAATAAAATAAATACCCTAACCTTTGATTGAGCCCCTTGAAACTCTGGCACAAACAAAGACAGAAAATTGGAAATGCATTTTAAGAAAATCAAATGGTTCAGATCCCTACAGCTTAAATTAAAAATATATATTCTAACAGGGATAGAATTCAACACACTAGGAATACTTAACAGGAATGACCATAGGATTTAACATACAGGACTTACTTTTTTGGGATGTCAGGTAGTTTCCTTTTGATGTCTCTACCTGTGGGAAGCAGATATTTTTGTTTTTAAGAAGAAGAAGCATTTTTGTAAAAATGTTGGTAAAATATGTGATAATCCTGTAAATGTAGTCCATCATTTAACCTAAACCAAAAGCAACTTGAAACTATTAAACATAGCTCGGTTTAAATGAATGAGAATTTGCACAGATATCTTTGATCTATTTACTTGTGTTATTTTACCACTGCTGCAACTTCATTATTCATGCACCTTTGCAGGGTCTACTAATCAGTGAGCCTTCGGTGCTTCCCTCCAGTCGACAGTAGCCGTCAATCAGGTAAGCCATGTTCTCTGCCTCAGCCAGAGAGGATGTGGTCACTGACAGGGGCTAAATATATACATTTGAAAAGACAGGTTTACCTGAGGTCTAGCATCATCATGAGAACCTGCTGTCCAAAGTCAGTCAGTAACAGTGATGTCTGTTACCTGCTCATTTCCTTTTATTTGCATTGTGAGCTCGGCCTGACCTTCACTCCCTGCTGATATGCACATGCTTTGGATCTCAGAAAATGCAGCCAAATGGGCAGGCTGAAAAGACACAATAGAGCGGAAGAGTAAAAAATGTTACACACCCGGGTGTCTTTTTTTGTTTACCAATACATAAACAAACTAAAAAGAACAATGAAGAATTAAGACTCACATTTGAGTTTTCAGAATGCTGGCTGATACCTTCAGGGCCAATAACCAGGTCAATCTTTATGCTCCAGCTGAGCTGTAGAACCAGGAAAAGAAATATTGCTTTCTCTCACTCAGCCATAAGGTAACATAACAATATTTTAAAAAGCAGAATCACAATGAGGTAGATATGTCTGAAAGACCACTATAACAATTACTAAAATTTAAGAACTAAATGTTCTTAAAACTTAAGAGTTTTCATACGCTATTTGGAAACACAGTATAAGAAACAATCAATTAAATATTGGCATAACAGTGCACTACTACTACTGTACTACTCTTGTTTTTTTCTGTCATACCGAAAGTAAAACACAATATGTAATGTGTAATACTTTGTGATTTGGTACAAACAGTACAGATGCAATTTTAGTAGTATTTGTTATTTTGAGGTTTAAGTTAAACCGAGCCTTTGTTCTGTCTAAGTGAATTCACTGCATGTGAAAGTCAGTGTCACTCAGTGTCACAGTTGATGTCTGCAGACTGTGCAGTATGAGCTGCAGTTTTGTAATTATACTGGTCAATTGGGTGCATTGACATTAGCCCAAATATAGAGTCATACAACCACTAGTGTACATCAACAGACATGCTTTAATAACAACAGTAGACACTCACCATCAACTGACAGGCAAACTTCTCCTGTGTAAAGCTGTAGCAGTGAGCTAAAGTGCTAAAGAATCTCTCCATGCACTGGTCCTGCTTTAGAGTGGAGTAGCCCTGGAACGTCTGTTGGATCAGCTTCCGCAGCTGCTTAGGCTGAAACAGTGACACACGAGACATAAATAAACATTTAATTAAAACATAGACTTAGAAAAAAATAAAAAAAATGTGTACGGAACAAACAAAAGAGAGGGCAACACCTTCATGCTGTTTATTAACTCTTTGGGAAAAAACAGGTGGAGTCCCAATTCATTCCTGTTGAGAAAAGCCAGATAACCGTGGTGAATTAAAGACAAAAAAAATTAAATTTATGAACACATTTTAAAAACATTTTTATGACTTACTCCAACAGCTCAAAGTTGGACTTTTTCTCCAGTCCATTTGGGTTCATGTCTTTGTAGTACCTCCTGTGAAAAGTCATAGCCCAATTATTGTCTTGTATTTCAAACCATATTGACAACAGCTGAGTTTCCTTTTTTTTAAAAAAAGTTTCGTTTTCTTAAGTGTGGATCAGTTTAAAAAATACCTAATTTCCAGACAACCCAGCTGCAATGCCATTCCATCACTGACTTTGGAAGCGTAGTGCTGCATGTAGTCATTGCGTACCTGTTGTATAAGAACCCATCACATTATATGGCTTTTTTATATGAATAAAAAAGAAAATGGTTGTAAAAATGCACTGTGTTGCCCTGACCTGTTGGTAAAAGTATTGTATCGTGGTGTTGTCGTCTTTGAATGTCTCCAAGAAATCCTGCGGTACAAATCTGATCCTTAAGTCATATCTACATAAGCAAAAACACAAACCAAAGCAAAAACATCATTAAAAGAGAGAAGTTCAGTAACCTAATATATGCTCTAAGGAGAGTTCCTACCTCCACTCAGCCTCCAGGTGTGGCTGTGCGTAGTGCTGGCTAAGTTCAGGCACTGTTAGTTCTGAGTGCAGCCAGTGTTTTTCAGAAGACTTGAGGTGTTGGAGCAGGATGCTGTAGCACAGTGTGTGTTTAATACCTGGACCTACACAGCCACTGGACAGCACCGCATTAATAATATCCTGGATTTGAATGGGAACGTTTTGGATAACAAAGCATGTTAACAACCAGTGTACATTTGGTTTTGGATATAAAGTACTACTAGTTGAGAGTGAGAGTAGAGTAAAAGTAAAGATTACCCTGACAGTCCAGTCCTCTTCACATCGGACCAGTTTAAAGTTCTTGCCCAGGTTTGTGCTGTTGCTAAGGAAACACACTTTGATGATCTTCAAAGGGGAGATGGGACTCTCATCTAAGGATTTGGACCGGTTGATGAGAAACATGCTCCTCCGAGACAAGGTACTGTTGTCCCTTTGACAAAACACGTGTTTGCTTAAAATATGCTACTGCATAGAGGCATATCTGCGTACAGGGCACGTGACGTGTTCGAAAATAAGAAAGAAAGATGTAGAATTTAGCTTGATTTTCGAAACTCTTACCTGTCTTGTTAGCTCTGCTGCACGACAGATCTGCTTTCCAACCAGAAAATTAGAAAACTGTTTGTAGAACTTGATCTCAACTTCGACAGCCTGACGAGTCATATGAATATGTTTCCTGAAGGGCAGTGTGTGAGTGTGTGAAAGAGGAAATGATGCTTGCCGAAAAAGGAGGAAGTTAAAGTGCCAAACAAGAGTGTCGTTCAAGAGTGTCACAATCAACCCAATATTTGGTAAAGTCCTACAATATGCTCACTTCCTTTTTTATAGAACAAATAAATAATGCAATGTGAAATAAAATTTAAGCATCTTACAGCATAATCCATTTTTTTTAATAGATTATATATTCTACAAATGTGCACAAAATATAATTGAATAACCATCACCAGTTCATACATGCTGTCACAAATACAGATACTTGTTTACATTTGTCAATTTGCAAAATTCAGTGAAATCTATTTTAGAAAACTATTTAAAGCAGTGGTTCTCAATTATTTTCTGTCGTGCCCCCTCCCCTCTCCTAGTGCTGATTTAAAGTAATCAATCTTTGCTTTTAAATCATAGTTGTTTCTTATATGTACAGATGAAATCAAGTCGAATAATAGTCAGGTGACTGTGAGTGTATATTTACATGAGTCAAGTTGGCTTCAGCCCAGTGATTCTAAACCGCTGTGCTGCAGCACGTTAGTGTGCTGTGAGAGATAATTGGGTGACTCATGGAAAATTAAGGTAATTTCACTAAATTGGTCTGAAAACTACTATTTTTTTTTTTTGCTGCGAAAAATATGCAAGAGTGACAGACGCACTTTTCCACTAGGTGGCAACAGATGGCTATTAAAAACAAAAAAAAATGAGAAAAGAGACAGATGACAAACAGGCCTAGGTTTCATGCTGTTATTAAATGTGAGTAGACTTAAGGTAGAAGATCAGTATAATTCATTACACGTGCTTTTTGGATAAGGATTTGTATTATTTTAAAGAAAAGGCAATACACCGTATACCATTCTTTAAGCCACTGTGGTTTGCTGAGAGATATAGAAAAACAATGACAACATTAAACCATTAAAATGATTAATGATTTATCAATTAATCTTAAATAATATAGTACAATTAGAGTAACATTTTAACAATACTCAGAATATTCAACATGTGAGATTCCTGTCTACAATGGTGAGGATGGTTATTCATGCGGTGGTATATCTTAGCTCAGGGGTCACCGACCTTTTTGAAACTCAGAGCTACTTCAAGGACACTCAGTAATACAGAGAGCTACTTGTTTGATACAGACTTCACAAACAATGTAATAATAATTAGTTCAGGGACATGCAGTAGTAGACACTCTTCTTACCATCGTCATTGGACCCATATGAATATCACTGCAGGTGGAACTGATTCAAAAAGAACAGTAACAGTACAATGTTTGACCCCTTTGACTCTTGTTGACTAGTTTTATTTAGTCTGTGGGCACCTTAGGTCATTGTTGACATTAACTGGATCGAGAGATTTTTTTGGGTTGTCTCGCATCATGTTTCCCAGGAGTTCACGAATAATGTCTATTTACTTGGGTCAAGTAAGTTTGTGACTTTCAAAATATGGGTCCCTAGAAAAGTTTGGGAAACATTGCCTTAGGTAGTCCATGGGGCTAACAGGTGCCCCTGGGCACCATGTTGGTGACCCCGTCTTAGCTGGTTCACTCTCACTATGAATATGTCACACTCTTAAAACAGTAGTTTGCCAATACATTGAAGGAATGACATTTGAAGAAAAAAGGAAGACTCTGAAATAAGTATATAAATATAAGCAGTGCATTTGTTTTGGTGGAATTGATAGTCCCAGCTAAAGAAGGATCAATGGTGCCCCATCACTGGGATCAACTCTTGTTCCAATAGTGACAGAAGGAAATTACCTCTATACAAGTCTGGAACTGTGGAGTCAACAGAAAATAAAATCCTAATTTGGATATGCATAAGAGTAAGTCTGCATTTTGATTTGATGCACATTATTAATAAGCCCCCAGAATATTCAATATCACCCGTGTATTTGTTATGGGTTGTTACATAAACTGGAAAAACATCTGAATATATCGAATAATCTTTGCACATAGTGTCAGACACAGGCTGATATGCAATATTCAATTTTATTTCCCCACTGTGTCTTTTTTGGGCCGGAAAAGTTGATTTGAAGCCAAACAGAGAGAAGAAAGTGTACGTTAGCACTCTGTTGTTCTTGAACCTGTTTTGTTCCTAATCTACGTTCACTTTTATGATGTTTGCTAGTTTGTTAAAAGTGAATTTGTTTGTTTTGTTAAAAAAAAAATAATTTCATGACTACCGTACTAATTTATAATAATGATTTCGGCGTGTCAGCGCTATAGTTTAGACGCAGATGAGAAGATAAATGAATGAGGGGAAAATACACCATGATTCGGGTATTAGATGACAGCTGCCAAACAACGTTATAATGACGACAAATGGCGCAGGCGTGTTAGGCTGTGTATATTTGTGCTGTTCTTGTCGTTACTCGCTGGTGTATTGTTGCCAAGCACGTCTGGATCTTCGATCTCCTGCCTAACATTTGGTAAATTCTGTTCATGTTGGGCGTGGAACTTTACCACCGCAGCTAGTAATCATCACGACA